ACTGGGAGGAGTGTCCACAAGCCAGTACCTTTTGGGCATCAGCCAGGGTCAGTATTTCCCTGCCCATGAATTTGCAGCCTCCTGCCTCATGTTACTATTTAGGCTCCTAACATGACAGGGCTCCAGGAGCAGGGACAGAATGGTGGCTCTGTGGGTAGGAGGGACAGCTTCAGGAAAGCACTGGTGATGGCCCCTGTTCTCAAATAACACACACTTGGGAAATAAAGGCAGCCCATGCAAAGGCAACCTGTGAGCCAGTGTTCCTTCCTGCCAGGAGCACCCATGTGCTTGGGCAGGGGCCACAAGATCATGCACAAAGCGAGGCTCGACCCCAGAGCTCTCCACCTGCTGGGAGGGCAGTGCTGACACACAGGGGCCATCAGGGGGCAGGAGAAGATGACACCAACACATCATTTTCTGTTGCTCCTTCTTCTCTTGGGTAACCTGCCTTGAGGAGCACGGTTCAGATCACAGGTGCTCTGGAAGGCCAGGGCAAAGGATGAGACCTGGGTGGACAGGGTAGGGTGGTGGAGCACTTCCCTTGAATTTGACCTTGAATGTCCAGAAGGATTTGGAACAGGAGACATTTCAGGCAGAGCAATTTGCAAGCGTAAACTCAGAGATGAGGCAATGGGTGCAGAGAGGAGGCTGCTCATAATGGGGGTGCAAGGAACATGCGTGCTGGCTGACATTTGGACTTGAACCCCTGGTCTTACCCTAAGGTCACTGGTGTCTGGACACAAGATAGACACAGAGGAGGACAGGAGTCAGACTTTTATCTGGCACCCATCCCATAATGTGGCAGACTCATGCTAGAGGGACAGCATATCCTTGTGGTATGTGGGTGCAGAACTATAGCGATGGGTGGGACACTGGCAAAGTAGATGGGTTATGTTTTTCCCCAGCTTCATTGAGATATATTTGACATATAACATTGTGCAAGTTTAAGGTGTAGAAGATAATGATGACTTGATATTCCTAGATATTGCAAGATAATTACCACAATCAGGGTAGTTAACACATCCATCATCTCACATAGTCACACATGGGGGGGTGTCATGTGTGTCTGGTGAGAATATTTAAAATCTACTCAGCCACTTTTAAGTATATGCTAACAGCACTATTAACTATAGTAGCCAGGAGTCCCCAGAATTCATTCAGCTTAGAACTGGAAGGGGTGAGCTTGAAAAGAATTTGACCTTGACAGTCATGCCAAGGGTAAGTAAACACATAGGCCAGTGGACAGAGGAAGGCTCAGGAGATTTTCAGCAAGACCATCCCTGGAGGGACGTGACTAAGGACTCCGCGCCTGAGATCCAGGCTGGAGCACAGTGCAGCCGAACTCACTGATCCATCTGTGAAAAGGCGAGGACAGAAGCAGCATAATAGATAAAGTCACCCAGGCAAAACAAGCTCCAAAGCCAGATTCTGATAAACCCCATTATGCAGATGCAAACACTCACAGAACACCAGAGAGCAAAATGATGCAGCCCACCCCCGCCTGGAGGGTCAGGAAGCAAGGCTGCCCTTGCCAGGGCAGCCAAGGGCCTAGCCCAGCGTTGACCTGGACCTGGCACTGGCCCAGCTCTGCAGTGCACATGTGCATTATATCCACATGAAAAGATGATCTGAGGAAGAAGGAGGCTGTGTGAACTTAGAAAGCTATTCCCTCTCTGGTCCTTGGCTCCCTTATACTGTAATTGATGGAACTGGACTAGGAGAGTATTGGCAAGGTCGTGGAATGCACACTGCTAATAATGCAGGTTACTGGGCCCATGACTCAGGCTGTAAAGCAGCACATATTACTTAACTTGCGGCTGCTGGTAAGCTACATGATCTCTAAATTCTCTTCCAGCACTAACTGCTCATGTGCTTTGCCCACTCCATTGCCCCCTCACCCCTGCTCCCATGAAAATTCTCCCTTAGGCAAAGCTGGCTTCCGCCTGGGGCTGAGCTCCTCCCAGGCATGCCCTGGTTCTGTTCTGACTGCTCTAGTCTGCACTTCCTGAGAGTGCAGAGAGACCTGAGAGACCACAGGCTGAAGTCCGCTGTGTGAAAATCCATCTCTTCTCAACTCCAGAACAGCTTCGAAAAAAACACACCCCCAGAGAGCCCTCCAGCACTCTGCATGTCACCTGCTGGATATCTTTGGGAAAGCTACTCAACCTCTCTGAGCACCACAATTCTCTGCCCAAGTGTGGAGCTTGTTTCAGGTGGTTGAATGTAGCTGTCATCAGCCCGAGCAACAGGAACTAGTATCTGGGAGTAGGTTCAGCTCTGCACAGAGAGATTGTCACTTGCCTAAAACTCACCAGCAAGTTAGTGGGTCTGCAGCTGGAGGGAGGTAGGGAGTAGACAGTGTTATAGGGCAGGGAGAGGGGCAGCCCGACCACCCTGTTACAACAGAACTCTCCCTCCCCATACCTTGCCTCCAAACAATGACTTTCCAGGATTTTCAAACTGGTGTATTCACCGCCTATCCCATGACTCAAAATTTTTTTCTCAGCACATCTTACACACTGGGGTCAATCACTGCTGAAATAGAATTTCTTTTAGATGCCCTAAGAGAGGCCTAGGAGGTATTGTGGATACTATAAGCCTTTGATATTTGAAGATTTAACATTTGCATGGTCCATTATTTGAGGGTGGCCCTCAGGGTTAATACTACTAATAATGTGTAATAATGATTTTTTAAAAAACTCTGCCTTACAATGTTGTAGTGAGGAATTTAAATGAGTTGCTGTACTGAAAGTTCCACTTATGCCTCCACAAGACTTCCACCCACACGGTGAGGGCACAGTCATACAGCCAGCCAGCGAGAGCCTGGTCTACCACCAGGTATCAGTTCTCCATCAGCAGAGTCAGGGTTCCGGGCCCCAACACAAATCCATCAGGACTGTTAGCATCACTGTCGGGGTACATATGGTGCTATGCACCCCACTCCTACATTTTTATACAGGTCACAGTGCAGATGTAAGGAAGAGGCCTAGGCTGGGAGCCAGCAGGTCTGTGTTCTAATAAAGCTTTGTCTCCCCCTCCCCCTCTGCCTCCCATCCCCCTTCCCCCACCCCCCACCCCTTCAGTAGTAGCAGCATCTGGCAACTTGTTAGAAGTGCAAATTCTCTGGATCCTCTCGCCCAGACCTGCTAAATCAGAATCCCTGCGAGGGGGCCCTGGTAACAGTGCGGTGCGGGTGCCAGTGAATGCTCAAGTTGACACCAACAACCTAATGACCTCTAAGACCCCTTTGTTTTCAAAACTCCAATCATCTGGATGAAATGTGGGTTAGGGATACCCTCAAGGCAGCATGCTGGGATGGGGGATGGGGGATGGGGGTGTCATGATAGAGTTCTCTGCACCCTGGGGGGCTGGCAGGTTGGGGGAGGGTCTGGGAGGGGGTGGATGTGAAACAGGAAACCCGTCAGTTTCAAGCAGCAGCACTCCCTGCCCATCTCATTGCACACCCCCACTTCACTTCCCAGTTGCCTCCAGCCTTCCATGAGCACAGGTGGGAGGGGGGGACCTATCCTTTCTGGTGCCATTGTTGCCATCCTCATCATCATCATCATGGTGGTCACTGGTTGTGTATACCTCCCCTGCCCCCTATCCCTGCCAGTGTCTACATGACAGCCCTTTTCTCACCTGCCCCACCTCCGGGAACTGATCTGAAAATGAAAGCCAGTGAGACCTCTAGCGGCCAGGGGACACTAGGCGACCAGGACCCGCTGCCGCTGCCACTGCTGCTGCTGCTGCTATCCTGGGATTATGTTGAATATGGTTTAAATCTGGCTATTTTAGGGCAGATGCCTGGGCTCCACATCTGCTCCAACCTCAAACCCAGGCCAGAAATTACAGGCAGAGACACTCCACCCAAGCCACACCTGCAGGCAGGACTGGGAGACTGGGCAGGGCCACATGACTTGCCAGGCCTGGATGGGAGGCTGCAGGGGACTCTGACTGGGCTCCTTGCAGCCCACTGACTCCCTCTCAGTCGGACTGAAAGTTTCCTTCAACTGGTTTACCCAGAGCTCAGTATTTAGAGAAGCAACCCACGATGTCAGTTTTCCTTCCAAGACCACCAGGAGGTTTAATTGAATCTTGTTCAGCACAGACCTAAATTCTCTCCATCAGCTCTGAACAATAGGATCTGGTGTCTAGCACTAGGTTCAGCTCTGCATAGAGAGGCTATGTAACTTGGTGCAGGTCACTCAGCATTTCAGTGGTGGGTCTGCTGCTGGAGGGGGTCTCAGACCCTTTGGGGGTCTCAGACCCCCAAAGAGAGCCCCACCTCTACACCATACCTTATCTCTGAATAATACCAGTTAAACCCTGAAAAGCTTTGCCCTAGATTAGGCTGCATTCTTGTTGCACCTGGCTCTTTTGTAAATCCTGGAATTGTCTATAGACAAAGAGGAGGGCCCAGGGCTTGGGATAAGAAACCACAGTGCAGGAGACTTGAACAAGGTGTGCCCTGCTTCTATAGCCTCCCAGATTAGTGCTGAGGACAGACAGAGCTCAACAGCCCAGGGGCTGGGACAGGTTCTGGGGAAAAAAAACATCAGGATGAATCTGGAGGGAAAACTGTTGCCTGGAGAGGGGGCATGAGATTAAGGTACAATCCAGTACCAGAGGCTGCTGCCCATGGGAGGACTCTGGGCAGACTGCTGACTGGCAGGGACTTGTGTCCCCAGCATGTCTACTTTCCTGCCTGTGCAACAGACCTCTGATAAAGAGTGTGAGCTTCTGATTACTCTGAGCAAACTGTGAAAGAAGTTCTGGAAGGGAAGAGGCCTTTCCAGACACTGCTCCATCTATAGCACTCTAACACAGCTGAGAGGGGTGGGGCAGCAGTTGAAAGTAAATCTCAGCATGGGTTCAGTTCCTGGGGTTTGACTCCATGGCAATAGGAAGCTTTAGCTGGTTCTGAAGCAAGGGAAAGCAAAAGATTAGGATGATTCCAGGTGTTCCCGGCAGGATTGACTCCTGGCTCTGCCTTGCAGGCAAGACAAGCTGAAAATCCACATGCGGAAGCACACGGGGGAGCGGCCCTACCTGTGCATCCACTGCAACGCCAAGTTCGTGCACAACTACGACCTCAAGAACCACATGCGCATCCACACCGGCGTGCGGCCCTACCAGTGCGAATTCTGCTACAAGAGCTTCACGCGCTCCGACCACCTGCACCGCCACATCAAGCGCCAGAGCTGCCGAATGGCACGGCCGAGGCGCGGCCGCAAGCCCGCCGCCTGGAGGGCCGCCAGCCTGCTCTTTGGGCCCAGCGGCCCAGCCCCGGAGAAGGCGGCCTTCGTGATGCCGCCAGCGCTGGGTGAGGTGGGCGGTCATCTGGGTGGGGCTGCTGTGTGCCTCCCGGGCCCCAGCCCCTCCAAGCACTTCTTGGCGGCGCCCAAGGGTGCCCTGAGTCTGCAGGAGCTGGAGCGGCAGTTCGAGGAGACACAGATGAAGCTGTTCGGGCGAGCCCAGCTGGAGGCCGAGAGGAACGCCGGGGGCCTCTTGGCCTTCGCGCTGGCCGAGAACGTGGCCACCGCGCGGCCCTACTTCCCACTGCCCGACCCCTGGGCGGCGGGCCTGGCCGGCCTCCCCGGGCTCGCAGGCCTCAACCACGTGGCCTCCATGTCTGAGGCCAACAACTAGCTTGGTCCTGGGCGACCCTAGTCCAGCAGCCCTGACTCCCCTCCCTCACAGGCCCATCCTGGCCACCCAGCGGGTCTGAATTTTTTATTTCAAATCACAAAGGGAAAATGAAAAAAAAAAGGAAAAAGAAAGAAAGGAACCCTATGTGTCAGCAGCAATGGTTTTTCCCAGCCTCCTGCGGCTGGTGTCTGAGATCTCTGCCCAAAGGGCCTGGGCCCAGGGGGCTGACCTGCCCCTCGCTGTGTCTCTGGCCATGTCACAGAGGAGGTCACATCTGGGTGCCCAGGAGCACTTAGGAGCTGTGTGGGGAGAGAGAGCCAGGGGGCTTGGCCAGAAGCTGGTCGGTGGAGCAGCAGTGAGGGGAGGGCCTCCGTGCACACACCCTGGGTGGAGTTATGTGGTGGAGTCCCCGCTGACCTCTCTGGTGAGTTAGTTTTCTAGTCTCCAGGTGCCCCCTTCCCAGGGTCCTTATGAGAAATGCCCTCATGGCAGGGAGGCCCACAGGAGTTAGGGGCACATTCCCTGGAGTCCAGGCCCATTCTCCTCTCTGTCCAGTTACCTTGGACAAGTCAGACCTCTGCACCCTATGTACCCCAGCTATGAAGGGGGACCAGTAATTTCGTTTCCCCTCTCCCGAGAGTAGGAGCTCTGCACTCCAAAGCCTCTGGTGAAACTGGCTGTACCACTGGGTTTAGTTTTACTTCTTCCACATCTGTATTAGCACAGATGAGAAATGTGGCCAAACTGGACAGGGATGACAGACAGACAACTGGGATGGGATCTGTCCACACCCACAGGCAGCTTTGGGGAACTCCAAATCCTGCCCCCCTCTCTGAGCCAGTCACTGCGCATGCCTGGGCCCTGGGGAAAACTATTGAGCATTTCCCCCAAGTCCACACCCCCCCTCTGATGCTGTACAGAATCTCGTGGGACTCCTGGGGCCAACATAGAAGGGATGGGGCCACCTCTTAACACCTGGATACTGCCTCCCCCACCCTGATTCCTGGAAACAGACAAGGCCTGGCTAGCCAGGGTTTCTGTTTGCTTTGTGAGTTATGGGTTTCTCAGGGCTATGACATTGCTGGTGATTGCCCCCTTTGCTGAATTTGAACACTCAGCCCCTCTCTCCTCTCTCTGGGAAGGGAGATGGGTGTTTGGCCCCAGTTGGGTGTAAAGGGCTCTGTGAAATAGGACTGTCCTGGTTCTTGAGTTCATAGCAGGTCCTGAGAAGGAAGATGGCTCTGCTGGTCCAGCGCCTTCCTTGCCTTCTCTCCCCATCCTGCCCTGTCCTCTCTTTTCTTGCTGAGTTTGCTTTTGTTCCTCAGTAGCCCCAAAAGGAGGACACTTCATCTACAAAGACTGCCCGGAGCTGGTGTCCCCAAACCCAGAGCTGTGGGCACAAAAGACTTTGGTTCTTCCTCTTGCCTTGGCTTCTTCCTGAGCAAACATAAAGACAAAAACAAAAAGGCCAGAGTAGACCACAAACTCTGTCACGCCCCAGCTCCCCAGAAGAGACCCCTGATGCCTCACGCCACCAGATGCCATTCCAGCCGGAGGGAAGTGCTTCTCACACCTCTTGTCTTCACAAGTGATCTGCTTGGGCAGCTGCCTCTAGATCCCCAACTCCATGTCAGACATTTGCTTCTGGGACCCAACCTGCCCATGTCTCCCGTCAGCCAAGGGGTTGGGGCTGCACCAGACTTTCAAAGCGAACAAGGGGAAATGAACAAATTAGAATCCAGTGGTGTCGGGGCTTTTGTTTTTATTTTGTAAAGGTAATGACCTCTTATAAACTCAATTTTTCAGACGACTGCTTAGTTATTTTTGTTTTCTCTTGGCTGCAATTTGGAGTTGTACATTGTAAAATATCCAAAGATGTTGAGTACTGTATGATCAAGAAGAACTTGAAGCAAATGGGTTGTGGGGGTAGGGGTGGTTGTGTTTTGTTTCGATTTTTTTCTTTTTTTGATGTTTCGATTTCCCTGTCTGTCTGTCTGTGGGAGGACTTTGGAATTTTTTCTATTTATAACTCTTTTTTTATGTGATTGCTTTATGTAAAATGACACTCAGCAAAGTTTGCCTTAGTGATTCAAGGGACAATCTTCCATAACTTTGGTCGCACGCCGCATCCTGCCGAGAAAAAACTCAGCTAATTTTCTGGCCTATTTATTAAACAGTATTAATTGACTTGATTAAATTATATTGAGAGTCGCACTTCTGTGAGAGCTGACAGCAACAAGCCAGTCTGGAGATGTTCGTTGCTTAAGGCTCTGAGAAGGGGGTGTCATAAGCTTACAATAACATCAAAGACGCATTTACCCAAGAAGTAGAAAACTTCGACCAATATTTAGCAATTTGGAGGACAATGTCTTGAGTCAAAGAAAGTCACACTTGCTCAGTGCCCCGCCAGGTTGATTTCCCCCTGCCTATTCTCATTTCAATTGTGTGTTGCATGGTGGAAATATCAGAACACCATTCTTAAACTGTCTTTCACCTTTCACCCATGGGAGGTACTGTTTGATCATAAACCTTAGGCACCTGTGAGCCTGAGAGTGAGGTGTGTGTGCATGGAGCCTGTGTATGTGCACACACATGTGCAGGCACAGCCTGTGGTATGTGAACAAAGAAAGTCACAAAGTAGATGAGTCCTACCAGTTCTCTAGCTTAGCATCCAAAGTGACCTCCAGGACTTCCTTGGTGGCCTAGGGGTTAAATCTCAGCACTATCACTGCCCCAGCCTCAGTTTGATCCCCGGCCAGGGAGCTAATGCATATATGGTGCAGCAGACCTCTCGTGTCTCACTGCTGCTCCCCTTAGCAGTGTATCTCCGTAAATCTGCCTACTCTGCTCCCTACTCTGTCTCTTGTGAGACACAAGAGACACCCCACACCCCTGCTCCTCAGGCCTACACCCCAGTTCTTCTACATAAAAAAAGGTGACCTCCAGCTGGCCTGACCACCATCTTGGACATCTTTTTCTCATTCCACAGCAGTGGAGTTGAACTTCTCTTCCTCTTACACACCTGAGCCCTCTCCCAACCTGGGAATGCAAGATCCTAAAAGAGGTAAGGAAATAACACTTCTGTCACCAAATGGGGTCAACTCCCAGGGCACCCAGAACCCAACACTGAGTAATATTATTCTTCCAACTGCATTTTCTTTACCACTCCAAAGCCCCATTTCTGTTTTAATCCCTTTTCTTGCCATTCTTATATACCAAATGCAACATTTCTCGGTGCAGGGCAAAGGAAAAATCTGGATTTCAAATCTGGGCTCCTCCAAGCCGAGTATCCTGAAACTAATGGCTTCTCTATTCTGGTCCTCACTCTCCTCACCTCTAATTGTGAAGGAGAGTGGGTACACCAGAGCACCTCCAAGCTCTCTACCTAAACATCCCTCAGCCAAGGGGTCAACCAGCTAGGGGATTGGGACTAAACTAAAGAAAGAGCCTGAAGCAAACTTCCCATGGTGTAAAACTCCTTTGAAGTCTTATCTTGTGGCTTGGAAATCTGTGCCTCTTCATCCTGTTGCATAGAACATGTGCATTTGTCTTAATACACAAATTGTCTGGAACTACTTTGCCAGTTAAAGTACTTGACTTTCCCACCAGAATCTTCTGGTAGTCAGTGTATGGCTACTCTGCGGCTTTGGGAGGTCCCAATTCATGACTGAGGATGGGGATAAGTATAGTCCAGTGAAAAAAATACAACATCAGCTACTATTCAGCTCGGACATTCTATTATAGGACCACCGGGTCCTCATTCTGGGAGTTAGGTGAACATGGAAAAGGGGTAGGGAGTTGTACCCAATGGGCCCTGACACCTGGTGCTCCTGAGCATTTGAGTAAATTCTCCTCTAGCCCTGGCCAGCACGGGTATTTCAGGCATGGTCTGCTCCCTCAGGTTCCAAGGGGCTAAAGGAGTTGGGGCCTGAGTAGAGGCAATGGGATAAAGGTAGGACAACGAGGCCTGAGAACAGGCCATGGAAACATGGGCCTCTTAGCTAGAAAAAGAAAGCTAAAGGGATATAGTAGAATTTCTAGAAGTCTAGCAGGTAAAGGAAGATTTTTACCAAGTTTGGCCAAACTTAAACAACAGGAGAGAGATTTCAAGAGGTAGCTGAGTTTCCAGATGAGGAAGATAACTCCCTAACATCCGGAGTAGTCCTAAGAGGACTGAGATGCCTTGTAGGGAAAGAGCTTCCAGTCACTGAAGGGCCGAACACACATCTCTGTAATGCCAAAGAGGTGCTTCCTGCATGAAAGAAGGGCTTTCTGGATGGTATGTCTCCTGGGTTCCTTCCATCTGATTAGTAAGAAGGCACACAGACATCCTCGTGTGCCCATGGGGAGGACTGTGCTGGGGAGGGTGGTTAAAGCAAGTTCACAAAACTGGACTTGGTGATCTAAGGCTCCCCACCACCGCACTTTCAGAGACCAACAACAACTTGGGGTCAGAGAGCAGGACTCTGCAGAGAAGATCATGACTCTCATTTTGAGACCACAAATATGTGATAGGAGAAGAGTAATGGACCAACAGGAAGTAAGTCTCTCAGGCCTTTATCTGATCCCAGAGCCTGTCCCTAAGAGGAGGACAGAGGTGTCCAATTACAGGACCCTGGAAATCCATGCCACACCTCAAGAAACTCCATCCTAGACCTCAGTGCTCCTCTCCTGGGACCATGCCAGCAATTCCTCCCTGAGGGTCCTCTGAACTTACCCCAGAGGGGCAACTGGCATTTCCAGAAATGGGCACAACTGGTGCTTGCTCTTCCCTTCTGAAAGCCAGCTGTAGTGAGGGCCTCATAAGGGGAAGGAGGGGCCAGAAAGGGACCATCAGGACCACAGATTCCCTTCTCTGCAAAGTCTGTCACTCAGACAGAGGTGAGTGGGGAGAACCAGCAGGAGACGCGTAAGGGTCAGAGGTGACTCCAGGCACCTGGAACAAATTCTGGAAGCAGACATGTTTGTGTCTACTGACGCTCCTCCTAACACCACCCCCATGTCTGCCTCTCCCCTTCTCTGGTGCCCCTTCTGACCCCAACCGCCCTTCAGAATGTGGGTGGCCTCTCTGCTCTCTGGCCTCCCCGCTGTCCAAACCCTGAGCCACTGAGGGCGAACATGACTCACAGGCTCCCTCTCCCGGCCCTTGCAGTCCCCTGCATCTCCTGCAAGCAGAAAGAAAGGCAGGAGCAAAGTGATGTCAGGCCACAAGCAGCAAGCAAGGGTGGTGGCTTTGGACGGATGGGCTTAAAACCATACCAATGGGCAGTTAGCAGTCTGCCCAGGGCCTCCCATTCCCGCCACCTCTCCCCCACCTGGTTTCCAGGCACAAGAAGGGGGGGTATGCGGGAAACAAACTCATTGCCTCTTTTCCTTCTTTCAGTTGAGAAGCACAGAGGACTGAGTCAAACATGCATTTCCAGCAATTGATGGGGAGAGGATTCCCTGGGGAGGCCCCCGTCATTGTCCCTCCTCTCCACATCCTGGGCAGGGGCTGATGTGACCTTTAGGGGTAGTACCTACATGCCCTAAATCAAAACTATGGCCCAGAAATTATATGACAAATAAGGACAAAATATCTCAAATTTGAATAATCCTGGAAAAACTGGAAACCGATCACTTTATCTGTAGCCAGCCCTGTGTGCACCCACATGCACTTGCACCACACACATACACACACTCACACACATGCACACACATAGTCATCAGACAAATATTACACAGGCTGATGTCATCCCTCCTTGTAACAATAGGAGACATGGCAGTGAAGGAACAGGACCTAGCAAAGCCATTTTCCCCACAAGTCTCCCTGCTGGAATATTTATAACACACTCTCCTTCCATCCTCGCGGTTCTCTATTTAACCATGAACTCTGACCCTGACAACAAAAGCATTAGAATAAACAAATGGGTTTCTGGAATAAGGAGGGAAGATAGAGTAAAGCAGACTTCATGCCCATGTTCTTCTAGAATTAGTAAATTAAGCACAACCCTCAGAGTAACATAGGTGCTTTATGCTTACTCGGGGACACTTAGATCCACAGACCAAGTGTTTTCAGCCCTATACAGCACAGATCATTAATCCATATCCCTAGTGGTGTCAGTCAGGGTTCCGAGTCAAACCCCAGACTCTCCAGATAGCTTAAATAGAAAAGGCGTTTATTAAAGGAAAGTCAGTATCCCACAGAATTTCTACAAGAACCAAAATTAGGCTTGCAGAGCTGCCAAGCCCAGTTGTACAGGTTGCATACTGCCCAATGATACACCTTTGAAGGATGCTGTTCACACCCTACACAGACAAGTGCATGAATTATATTATAAAACACTGGATTCATAGATCATAAGCCCTTCCCAGCAGATGGCAGTCAAGTGTCTCGAAGGAGTGCCCTTGTCTAATTTGCAGAAACTCCATGTTCCTGGAATCCAGGAGGCCAGAAACACCCCTGAACCACACAGCACCAGATGGCTCCCACAGAGATTTGATGGCTCCTGCTGCTGCTAGGTTGACCTCAGAGCTCATCCCACTGACACTGGGCCCGGACCCTGGGACTCTGTATTTCTCTTCTCCCGGGAAACAGACTCCACGAGCCTGAACTCACTTGCTTTGTTCTCGTGCTGATGCAGCTGCTGAACCTGACTGCAGGCTGGATGGAAAAGTAAGCTTCTGGCTTCCATCCTGAGAAGGGAGAATTCATGAAGTCACTTCAAACAGAAGAGTTCTGTTAATGTTGGGTGGCCTCAAAACACAGCACATATCCGTGCAGTATTTTGCCTGTGAGGATTCTGAAGTTCAATATGGCAAACTAGGCCCAGGAGGAGACAGGGCTACAACGCAAATCTGCTGTCTCCAGCCACTGAGCTGAGCTGTCCCCTTGATGTGGAGGCCCAGAGTGACAGAAGGTCCACTGGGGGCAGAAGTCGAATTAGATGAGGCTCACGATGACAGTTTTCCTCCTGACACGTCACCCCTGCAGCTCAGGTAAGCACTGGTTCATCCTCACCCAGCCCCACCAAGAAACCCTTAACACCCCCTTCCCAGGCAGCAAGCTGGGTCATAGAGGAAAGCCTTTGTCCCCTCCCCCGCAGCAGACATAGCCCCTCAACTTTTTCATCACACCCAGGAGCCAGAACTTGACCCATATTTCTGTGCCACTGCCCAAAAGTCGGTTCCATATTCAGCCTTCCCCTCAAAATAGTCTTCCTAACGTAGTCTGCATGTGTTCTAGTGAAACTTGTTTCTCCTTTTGCCATTGTATCACCCCTCCTCGTGGAGCTGTACTCTGAAATGCACAAGTACATTTTCATTTCCTAATGACGGGACTGCCCCCAGAAAATGGGCCCTGGTGGGATAGGAGGTGTAGTAGCTGGGAGCAGGGAAGGGTGGCATAGCAAGAAAGAACTTAGCAAAATTTGCCAACATGGGGACTGGGGGATGCAAGCTCACTACCTTTCTTCCTCCTGAGATGGGCCTCTTGGTACCTAGAAAGGACTCAGGAGGCTCCTCCGGGTCTGCTGTCTGACCTGCTGCTCTGCCCTGGGGGCACTGGCCCTGACCCGGCTGTCAGCCATGGAGTTCCCATGGTACTGAGCATCCTTGTTTTTGTCCAGAACGAGGAGGTGAGGACATCTCCTGGGACGTCTCTGCTGGAGGCAGAGGGGGCAGCTCTGCCTACCTCTTAGTAGGTGCTCCATCAATGTCGGCTTCCTTCCTTCTTCTGGAGTCTATCAATAACATTTAAAATACTTGGGCTTATTTATGCTTCCTTACCCTTTTTATTTTGTTTCTCTTTTATTCTTCAAGTGGAAAAGGAAGGAAGGAAAGAAAGGAAAGGAGAGAGGAGAGGAGGGAGGGAGGGAAGCAGGGATGGCAGTGGAGATCTGCATGCACTGTTTATCCCAACGAGCTGTTGTTTTGGATAATCTGATAAGGATGCTTAATCAATTGACAGTTCCTTGGGAAAAAACTAGGAGAAGAAAG